ATTGTTGTTTACGCAGACACAGATGCAAGGAGACAGAGAGGGCAGACCACTCAAGGAAAACAGGAGAAATTTAGATTAAAAGATAATAGTTAAGAAAACTAAGCTTTCTTAAAAATACTCTAAAAAACAAAGACTAAAGCAAACTATCTCTACAATAGTAATATACTAGAACACTTTTTGGTTTCTATCCTTACATGCTGTTAGTGCTTCTGGCAAAAATCACCCTGCTGGACTGCCTTGATGAAAATACCCTGAACCACAAAAATGAGTGAGAATCATCAATTCTGACTTCTCAGAAATTCTATTTAAGATACAGTACCAGTCATCAGGTATGTGGCTGTTTCCTTGCCTCTCCCATTTACTTCATAAAAGCAGATTAATACTCCAAATTTGACTTCCTATAATGAGAACTGTGCATGAAGGAAGCAGCTGACAAGCACCATGACAAAGAAGAGAAGGAAGTATAAAAGTAGTGAGATTCAACACAAGCAGCAAATCCGGAAAGAATTGAAACAGTAAACAAAGTAGAACTCAATGTTCAATTCACTGTTTTATTACACTGGGAGAAGTTGGTATTACGAACACACTCTCCCACATCTGGGTACCTGAAGCACCAGTGAAGTTGTATAACTTGCACCCACACAAAAGCGCCACAAAACCCAATCACTCAACGAGCTCCTATCATTTAACAATCCCAAATAGCTTAGCATCCATTCTACACTTGCTTCTGAACATGATGTTCAAGCAGAGGGTGAATATGCCCGAAAACTTAAGCACTGGGGGGCAAAAGCAAGGAGGCAGAAAGATGATTAAAAAAGCTGATGAAGCAAAGCAAAAAAACCAGTAACCTTGCAAGTCTGTGAAGCCTTCAAAACATCAGGCTCTTTGCTTTGATCCCATGTTCTGCCAATAAATCAAAAAAGCCCAAGAACCCATTGCAGATCTAGTGAGTGTTTCAGGGCCTATGGAAAAGTCAAATCAACTTGTGATGTTCTGCTCTTGTATAATGATAAAAGCACTGCTACCCTACACAGCTCCAAGCACAGCAGAAAATGGCAGTGCCTGCAGTCTCTGAGCAGCTCCTTATCCAGACAACACAAAAGCCAGAACACTTGTGCCAAAGATAATTAATATGATCATATTGCATTAGTCATTGTAGTGATATTGGGCAAATGTTATGTTGCATGAGGCTTTACAATAATTGGGCAGTAATCAGTGAAAACATTAAGTCCCTATTTTACTACTGCTTCATCACCAGCTATAAAACAACATCTTAATAAAGAGAAAAAAACTAAAAAGAACTGAGATTAATAAGGCATGTTATGGCAGTTTAGAAGTAAAAGTCATTTTAACAATGTAAAACAGAACAATACTGTTCAAAAGAATGTGCAGAGAAGGTTTACTATTCCTTAAAAAAAAAAAAAAAAGAAAAAAAAAGAAAAAAAAGACACTGTTCCGAGAGCCAGGCCTTGCTACTATAGAGTGTGTGTCAAACTGGTAAGCAAAACACAGCACCTCAATGCTCACCAGAAAAGCACTATATCCTGGATTGACTATAGCACTATCGTCCCTAATTAGACAACCTTGCATGGACAATGCTAACCACCAAGAGGAAGGAAAAAGAGAGCGAGGGAAACATTAGAAAAAGTTTTGGCCAATATTCAGACATGGATTTTGACTGTACAAGTAGATATATTTATGGCAGAGTCCAAGAATGATCAGACAAGCCATTAGAGGATGAAAGCGGCTCCCTCCACATTGTTTTTATCACGCTTTGAATACATTACCTCATTTTTAGAAGGGTTCTGGTATCATGTGCAGTTATCGCATGATTATTACAGGACTGTGATTGCATCATTAGCAGAAGTTTAATTATATCATTGACATTAGTGATGCCATAACATCAAGCTCAATAATAGTTCATAACAAAACCTACAATTAGCACAATTTTTCCTCCCTTTTACACCAACAGAAAGTGTTCAGCTTGGAGAAGCCTAATAGTCCATATAGAAGTGAGCTAGGGCTGAACCTGAAAGGATTGCTGGCTGGTAATTTAGTAATATGGTAATTAAAGTCTTTTCATGATGTAATTACACATCAACTACAAAAGGACAGCTGCTATACAACACTGTCAGGGTACGTGGCATGAAATGATTAGATTTGAGAAGCTTTGGTGGTTAAACTGAATACCGCAGACATAAGTCCGAGGTATAGCTGGCACCGCGTAGCACATTATTATTCAAGTCTCATACTTAGCGTTTCCTTAGTCTCATTATGATAGTAACAGTTTGTTACACATACCTTGGTCCTATGACAGCAGAAGCTGTTCAAAACCCACCTTTAAAAGCTGTTTGAAGTTGCATGGAATTAAAAGACCTAAACTTCTTCTGGGCAGAGGCAGTACAAATGAAGTTTGCATGAACCTAAAATGTTTATTTCCCACCCCTGCAGCATAAAACATCCTCTCACAGACTCCTGTCTGTGGGAAATGTAACTTGATTTATTTGTAGGGTTTTTTCCAGTGGGGGAGTAGAGAGGGGAGAAGAAGAATGAGGACAGAAAAGAGGCACAAACGAGTAGGTGAACTCAAAGAAACTAAAGCTTGACTGAGGAACTAAGGGTTTTGGCATCTATTTCTAACAGCAAAAAGCAGAAGCCCCCTGGTTGGGTGAGAAAACAAACTCACTCTTCTTCTCAAGAGCAGGCTTTTTCTAAAGTAGTTTCCTTATTGTATTTCTCACCGCACTCATCTGTATCTGTACAAACTGTGAAGCTGACCACATGAGGCATGACACAGCAAAAAGGAACCTATTTTTCCAACTAACAAGAATGAAACTTCTTGGCTACATGACTGGGCTCTTAAAAATACAGGAATGCACTGTGCACCCTGGCAGTAGGCAGACAACCTCAGAGCTGCTTTTCTAGTCCCAGGATGTCCTTTTAGTGATGAGGAGCAACTCAGATTTTTGCAGTAGCTGGTTTGTTGGTTTTTCTTCCCTGACACATCAGAAGTGGGGATTTCATGGGACAGACCCAGATCAACTGATCATCTATGCTTTAAAGCTTTTATTTTCTTGAGCTAGGAAAATCTAGAAGTGGTCTTATTTGAAAGTGAAAGATTTTGGGAATCCAGAGGACTCTCCTCAGCATGAAGAGGGTTTCTGTGACATTCATTTGGAAAGTGCAAAACCAAACTATTCTGAATCTGGAGGGACTCTGTTACCTCAAAGATGTGAGGAGTAAGCAGAAAACTTTCAGTCCTGGTTCAAACAATACCCAGCCTTGCCAATTGCTTCCCTTCTAATTGCTGCTCTTCCTCTTTCCTGAAGACATGTGTGAGATGGGCTTAATGAATATTCAAAGCCTTTTGAAGACTTACTGTCTTTCACGACATTGGGCCTGGCGCCAATGCTGGATCACCATCAGCAAGAGTTTATTCCCATTGAGTATCAGAGGCTGCATGAAGCAGAGGTTGCTCTTGGGGAACTGAAAGCAGCCTGTCCCAAACATTTCAGAACAAACATCTCAACTGCTCAGAAGTAGGTCCTGCATAGCCAGTTTTACACGGAACACTTTCTTAAGAGAAAGTAAAGCAATTTAGCCAACCCAATGGAAGAGACTCAACTGTACTTCGAGTGCAATAACACAAGAAAACATTATTATTTCTAATTTAATGTCAAGAGAGATAGAATGCAGTGGAGCTAGCAGCTCTGATGACAGGATAGGTGGTCTGCTCAAACATGTTTACAGCTACCTTCTGTGAGGACTCACTTGAAATTTTACGTGAAAAATACGTCACTTGTCAGGAAGAACTGGGTGAACAATATGCAATATATAAAGCAAATTCAGCACCTTAAAAACAGCTGTTCACCAACATGAAAAGAATAGGAACTTTATGCACAAAGGATATATCTGACTTCCTACACAGTTTAAAGCAGTAAGGAGCAACAAAAATGCTAGGTTTAAACTACAATGGTCTTTGCTCGAGTGCCACCTCTGTAAGTAAACACATAATGAACATGAACTGTATATGCACAAACCTTAAAATCAAATGCATAACCATAGCAGTCTTCACCTGAAGACAACTTGGTATGACACCTTTGCAGGCTTTAATTACTCAGCTGTTAACTAACAGAATACAACAGCAGTCCTTATGTGGGGAACTACCCCCCCGGGCCTGTCTATGCAGAGCACTGCCAAAAGAGGCAAACGAAGGTCTGAAGTCTTGCAAGAATAGCCTCATTATCCCTCTCTGATGGTGGCACAGATAGAGAGTGAGAGAGGGGGAAAGAATGCAAGTGGGAGATTTCCAGTATGCTCCTAGCTTTAGCTAACTCAGAAGACACAGAAAAAGCTCTCACCACAAGTTTTCAGGTATCCAACTTCAAAATATAACAAAGCAACATCTGAACAACAGCATTCAGTTCTGGGAAATGGACAAGTACACAAGCCAGAACAGGTTAAAGAAAAATCCTAACCTGTGATAATCTGTTTCCCTCCTTTCCTCTCCCACTGCGAGAGTAGCAGCCATTTGCTTACAGGTGACTACCTTCAATTATACCAAAATCTAAGAACCAGGTGGCCTATCAAGACTAAGGCTGTTGATGGGAACCACAGGACTTCTGACTGAACCAGTTCAGTCCTACCAGCTGTTCCAGATGCGGTCACCTTGTCAGTGTTTAACACACAATTCTACTATACACTCAACAACATCTCTTCTGTTTCAACAGCTCTTAATGTCTTTCCACTTCCCTACAACCATCAAGTCATTCGAAAACTGCTACAGGGCCACAAGTGTTGTCAAACTCCCTGACTGCAACTACCATTCAACAAGGTACCAGAAGTCTATCACTGCCATTTGCATTAATCTCTGTGAGAAACAGTAAGTGTCCAGGCAAGAAACTGAATCCTCTTGTGATAGGTTTGCAACTAAGGAAGTTGATAACACCAGATCTGGGGAATTTAGGGTGATGGAATAGTTGGGGAGACACCACACTTACCTGCTATCACCAGCGTTTGCCACGTAAAGCTTCCCCAATAAATACACCACCACAAGGGCTGTGCAGCCACCAGAAATATTATACACAGTCCTCTCTCGCTCTATTTGCAAATCCTATGGGAAAAGAGAACAGCATTTATAAAGACAGCACTGCAATTAACGTTTTAGAAAATGTAGATGCCCCTAAAAAAAGAAAAAAGAGTCTGTCTCAAATTACACGTCCCACTGGTTTTCTTTACCGTTGCAGCTTTGGCCAAATGGTCAGGGAGAACAGAAAGTCGAGGAGTACCTATTACTTGTGATACAAAGATGTTTGGGAAAATTAGGACAGGAGATTGTAAAACATCAGGCACCAAGGAACAAATGGCAACTCCGAGGGATGCAAGGGAATTTGCTACAGAAAAAGCACAATGAAGGCAAAGATAAATGTAGCTTAACAATAGGTACCTGGTGGTATAATTGGAGAGTGATTTGCATAGACAGCAAATAATTAATGAGACCTGGCTATGACATGAATAACTACCTACTCTCCAAAAGGGATGCTGAGACTGCAGAGCATATACCTTTACAAACAACAGCAAGACACACTCGTGCCACAAGGGCATCCTTCAGAAACGAAGGGAATTGGTGGATGCTAAACTTGTTAAGGGAGTGGGAGGGGGGGAAGGTCAGTAGAGCAGTATTTACTGAAAAATACTAGGCACTCACAGCCTTTCCAGGATGAACTACAGTATTTAACCCTGTGTTTCATCTCACGCTTTTGTGAGGTCCTGAAAAGACTTTTTCTTTATGCATGTCACAGGCCCAAACTTAAGGGGGTACATACCTACTCGAATAGCTCTTCCTGTGTTTAGCTTCCAACTGATTCTAAGCATAAGAAATATTATGTATAAAAAAAGTCCTCCTGCTTAACAGAAGTGGAAAACACAAGTCACATCTGTCATCAACAATCGATCAAGTAGAAGAGCAAAAAAATACATGAATACATCCATATATATATATATATATATATAAAATCCTTGGAAAGCTTGGAGAACATAAAGGACACGTAAATGAGCTGCTTTCCAGTACTGCATACATTTTAAACAAAAATTGAAGTGTATGCCAATGAATTAATTATGCTGTCTCTTAGTTTAGTTTGGGGTAATAACACAACATGTTACAAATTACCCTCCTCTCCTGTGTCCAGAATCAAAACCAATTTCAAACCAGACTGAAATTTGTAATGTTTGTAATACCAGATACAAAAAGGGAACATTGTTTAATATTGCTATTGCAAGTACTGACAGCTAACCCCTACTTATTTGTATGTGTTTTTTATTATGAATATATTTGTTTGCCTCTGTGTGTGTATGCAGTATGTGTGTGAGCTATACTTCAGCCATTTTCATATTTGCACTGAGGAACAAACAGCTCAAATTGTCCATGCCTTGGGGTATGGGATTTAGAGCTTTATTTCAGAGCTAAATTTATCTGAGGAAAAGCACCACAACAAATGCAAACCATGACAGCTGCAATTTGATTGAAAATGTGCAGAGTCGGAGGAGGCCAGGGACCACGCTTTGTTTCCTACAGATTTCCAGGGAGGGAGGCAACGTGGGGCAGCAGCAGGGATGCTTGGGTAGCTGTCTTGAGCAGGCTGGACAGAGGTGTCTCTCACAAATAAAGTAACTCCTCGCTGGCTGGGACTGATCCCATCTGTGCCAGGAATACAGGACTGAGGCGGGCGGTGTAGGGGGGACAGCATGAAAAGTTCAGCGCTGCCCGACAAGGCCATCCTCTGCTGCACAGGAGAACTGCACTCTGCTGCAGAGAGACTCGGGGGTTTACTGATGGCTCTTAATCCTCGCTCTCACTGACTTGTGGTTTTCCCTTTTCTTTCCCTCTTTTTTTGGGGCCTGGGACGTGGGAACAGTGAGGACCACGAGGAAAACACCTCCAAGCTAAAAATCAAATCTCGCAGAACCTTTGGTCACAGACATGGGCCTGTTACAAATGTCTCTTTATCTAATCTTGTCATAGAGAAGCCGATTTTCCTCCCCATGGTTTCTATATATTTTTAAATTAAGCTGAAAAGAACAGTTCAAAGGAAGCAGATGTTTCTAGCCATCAAAATAATTTAAACTTACAAATACTACAGTGGATTTTCCAGGCATTGCCAGGAATTTTAAACAACCTTCCTCTCCGCCGGTCAGAGTATCCTCTGAGACCTTCAAACAATGTGAAATTCCTCACCTGGTTTCAGCTCTGTCATATGCACAACTTTGCAAGTGCTGGAATGCCTAAATTAAAATTTATTTCTTTCAAAAAGCAGAATTCAGAAGCAACTGTTACAGGAGAGGAGATGGATAATCCTCAGGGCCTCATTTTCAGTCTCCTTGTAAACTAGATCTGTGTACTGGATTTATCTTGAATCACTGCTGTTCACAGGATCTTCCACCTAGTTGCTGTTCAGGACTTAAATTTACTTTTATGGCTTGCCAGGGTATATTCAGTGCCACTTTTAATTTGGTATTACATACTTTGATATTCCCTTTCTTGGGAGGAGGGAAAGAAGGGAAGGCTTTTTGACAGCTCAACAAGATTTGAGGAGAAAAATAAACCAAGATCACAGAAAGCCCACCAACACCACTAACTCATTGTGACGTAGAGACACTGGCTTTTAAGGAAACACTTTATAACAGTGCTGCTAGGAAAACAGTGCAGCACAAAGAGGGACAGAAACCCCAGAACACCTCTGAAGTCTTTATGAGTGTAAAGGGGCTCATTTTAGACAAAGTCAGAGTATATATAAAGCTTTCCTCATTTTTCACCTGGAGAAAGAATCCAGAGGAAGCTTTTCTTCTTTTTTCCTCCTTTCCTTTTTTTTCCTCCTCTTCTCTGTAGCATGCAGCTCACCCCCACATAGCAATCTGTGTGCAGGGGAAGAGCTGAGCAATGCTGGGCAAAGTCAAACAATGCACCTTTCAGTCCGAAGGGCAGGATGTGCCACTCAGACACAAAAGAAAAAGGGAAAGAAAAAAATAAAACGATTTTCACATTCTCTGTCCAAAAGGCTACCATTTTACACCAAGGAAGCAGGTAATATAGTCTGTGCTCTGCCCCCCTTTTGAGTATGCACGTTATAGTGGCAGGTAGGAGCAGGGTGCTCACAGGGGTTGCTTCACGCGTGATCCACCTGATTCTCCTTCCCTGGGTGAAGGAGCTTAGGAAGGATGGTGCAAAGCCTGCTGAGGACACCATGAAGTGCCATGTGGTACATTTCCAGAGCAGGGATTGCTTTCTCCATGGATTACAGAAGCAGTCTGAGGCTGCAGCATCAGCCCTGGGACAGACCACCCCTGCTGTCTGGACTGCTTGGGTCTCCTCAGCACCTGCCTCGCTAAGGCTTGTACCTGGGCTTCCCAGAGTGAAAGCAAGGGCTAATCACACCATCTCCTCCGAAAAAGGTGAAGGTTGTGCCAGGAAGCCATTACCATCTGCTCTGTGGAGGCTCCCGGACCCTCGATGGCGTGATGCTCGTGCCACCTCGTGGAGGCCCGGCGGAGGGGCTCCGAGCTGCGGAGCGCGGCGTGGGCCAGCAGCTCTCAGGGTCCTGAAGGACCTCAACTTTTCCTTCCCCTGTCTCGACCCACGGGTGTTGGATGCTTGAAGGGCACTGGGACACACACCGCTGTCAGCCTCAGCAAGGCAGACTGCTGCGTGCTGGTGGCCGGAGCAGAGCTGATGCAGGCGCTGCACGGGTGAGGGCAGGCACGAAAGCAGTGAGTGTGTTAACACAGAAAGTGAATGCCAGCTACAGCCAGTACTAAGTTTGAGGAATTTAGGACCTTGAAAAGAGAACTAGGTACATTCAAATTGCAGTATCATCATTCAGCAAGTTAGCATACTGCAACAACAACTAAAATAACTATTTTTCATCCATATGCATCTCCAGAGTATGATCCTTTCCTCCTGGATCTCAATCTTGCTATGCCAGACAGCAGCTTTACTCCCCACACACACAGCATCAGGTATCTGCTTAAAAGAAATATATATATTTTTTAAATCATGTTTCGGAAGGCATAAACACAAAATTAACTCCTTAATCTGCTTTACCTCTATCAAAAAGGCATCAAACTGCCTGTAACACTGTTTCAACCCTCCTCACTTCTACTGGTTATTTAATCAGAGGAAGCTTTTCGAAAGGAAAAATGTAAAACATGTTTGCTCTCCCAAGATTGTTGAAGTTAAAGTTGTGCCTGTCTAGATTTCATCTGACTCAAAAAAATCTCAACGAAGAAGAAAATCATGATGCAACGCATACGTACACCTTCCAATAAATCATACAGACTAGTTCTGTGCAATTTTTACCCATCCAAAATTAAACTGGGTTCTGTGTGGAATAGGTGCTCTCTCCCCTTAAGCTTTCTTTAAAATACATACTGCATCACACACACGTATACAAGGCTAAATACAGGGAAGGAACTACAGTTTGATGCTTCCATCCTGTACAGAACAGCAGTTGGAAACATCCCTCTTGGCTCCCTAGAACTGAATCTATAAATGTACATCTTAAAATCAAGAGATTAAAATTAGAGGATTTGACTTCTGATACTTTCAGAACTTGAGCTTATTTCTTTCCTTTTAACTGGGATAACTTTCATCACTGATAATTACTGACATTGAGCATCTTTTATTTTTTAAACAGGACAGTAAGTTATCTGATAATACAACACAAACTTGCTAATCCCAGTTCCAACACAATCAGGAAACACTATCTAAATTACTTCAAAAAGGGGACAGCTTAAGTGTTAAATTTCTAAGTTAGGCAGTGACTTGGTCTGTGTCAGCTTTCCCCAGTGTTTTACTTTATGTAGCTGTCAGACAAGCACTGTCTAAAGGAATCCACACCCAGTGAAGGAAAAATAATTTAAAAAAGCCTTTTGAAAGGGATGAATTGCATTGTATTTGAGACTGGAAGCAAAACCAGGAAGAACTTAACTAGAGTTCAAAAGGCAGCTGGGGAAAAAAATAATGGCATGCTAAATGCTCCCAGGAAAAGGGGACAAAACCATCCTTAGATAAACCTGTCAGGTTGGACTGTTTAAAAAAATATTAATATGTATTTACTTAGCATTTCCACCAGGTTCAAAGGGCTCATTTGCACTGATGGGTGTTTCAGGAAACCAACAAGAAGTCTGCTTACGTGTCCAGGAAACACGAGCTTCCACCAAGTGCCAGGTAAAATGATACACTGCTGGCATAAAACCCTCATACCTTATGCACATCTCAAATGCATGGACCTAACTCAACAACGTCCATTCACCTAAAGACTACACCCCAAAGGAGTATAAGGAAATTAGACAGAGGTAGGAGGAAGATCAATCACTGCAAACATAAATGAGACTCAGGAGTGTTGACCTTATGAACTGCTCCCTTACACAATCAAAGAAAATACTCTCTTGCCTAAACCAATTGTAAGCACAAGACTCATCCAAGAGCTTAAAGTAGGTATAATTACATATCGCTTTTCCTAATCTGATCATTTTTATGAGGCTTCCTTTTAATGTAAAACTTAATGCTGAAATTATATTGCATTGTGGTAGACACAGAATCATTTATATAAAAATCACAGAATCACAGAATAGTTAGGGTTGGAAAGGATCTTAAGATATAGCAAAGAAAGACTGAACTTCAGCCCTCTGATGAAGATCGTAAGTGGGAATTAAGGTATATGATCTGTAGCATATGAACAAAGACACAGGGAGAAAAATAAAATATTAGCTGGACTTCAGTTTAGAAAAGGTAGAACAGGTTACTATGACCCAGATACTGTAACTGTAGTGAGTTATCCAGGGCTTCTGCATTTGTCATACTCTATCTATAAAAGCCCACCCAAGCAGTCAGGTGTCTGGACATGATCTGAGATAATCTGTGTGAACACCTACCAGAGGCGTGAAGACAAAATAAAGCCTGGTGCTATTCTGGCCTGAAAAACTTCCCCAACTGAAGCATGAAATTGATGTCCCCCTCTTAAGTATGCTCTCAACCCACTAGGGTGCAGTAGATGGGCAGTGTCCATTGACAAAGAAGGCAGCAAACTAGTCCTCCCTTTCTGAAAAGGGCATGCTAAACTGACTGGAGATTTTCATGCATCCTCCTCTTTGTTGTCAGCTAGCAGAAACTTTGTGCACTAGCTGCAGGGCATAAATCTGCTTGCATGCTCCACGCTGAACTATGCCTAAGCCACAGCTGTGGATTCTGCTTCTGGACCTAGTCACCTAGAAGTCCAAACCCAGTTGGCGGGTCTGTTTGCCTGCACTTCCTTGGGGAGAAAGGACAAGCAGCAAGATAACTGCTATTCAGAATATAAAGTGAAGTACCACCTTGTTATAACAACAATTAGATGCATGTACTAAACAAAATTCATATATATTAGCAAAACCAAAAATCAAATACTTCTTGTCAGACAAGAAATATACCTTTGGGAAACACTCATTAGTCCAAAAGCCTTCTGGTCAAGTAAGAGCATTTTTTAAAAACAACAAAAAATTAAAAAGAAAAAAAAGAGAAAAAGAACAAGCTCAGATCTCAGGCAATACTAGTTTTTATCTCAAGAGAAATCAGGGGTGTGTGAAGAAGGAGAGCACCAAACCGCTAAGAGTCAAGTAATCTACAAATGCGGCTGTGGTGCTGCCTAGGACTTCAGATGCAGCTTCTGCCTCCCAGGGAGGTACCAGGTAAATTGTTGAGGCTCTTAAACAATTCTGTCCACACTCAGCTGGTGTTTAAGCAGGGGGAAAAAAAAAGTGAAAAAAATCCCTAAACGTTCATCTTCCCCAGGCCACGTGACTCATTCATGTAAGCAACAAGGCCTACAGAGCCCTGAGATATACATACCATCTCCTTGAACGCACTTTCTATGGCCCCAATAACCAGGCATTCATGTGGGATCTTCTTCTCAGTGAAGAAGCGTGTTGGAGGGGTGCTGGGCGAGCCCGGGGCCCCCACACCACCACGCAGGGAGGCTGCCCGTGTCAGCGTCCTGCTGTTGGTGGCCGGGTTGTCGGGCTCCTCTCCCAGGCAGGTGGGTGGGAGGACGGCCGTGTTCCTCAGGATGTCCACGATGTCCTGCAGCTGCTCCAGGATGTGGTGCTGCAGCAGTTTGGAAGCCACCACAGCTGCCCCTGATCCAGCGTGTCCATCAAACAGGGACCAGTAGTACAGGTTGATCCCATCCGAGTCCTGGAGAAGCACAATGGGAAGAAAGGGAAGGAAAAAGAGATGGTCACTGCTACAGAGCCATGGGTGAGGTGAACGGTATAGCACACGAGCAACAGGTAGAACACAGATAACCTTCCCAGAGGCAACCTTCTTTCTGAAATGGAGAAATGCTCACTGTGCTAGTAGAGCTCTGGCAGGAAGGAGAGATGCTTATTTTTGCCACATATTCCCACCTTTTTTTAATTTCTTTTCCTTAACACCCTAAAAGACCCCCAGCAAAACAACCAAAAAATCCCCCTCTGAACTTGGAATCTTTCTTACCTCACAGCCATCACACGTTGCACTGACCAAGAACTGCTATGATTGTGAGACTAAGTTAATTTCCTAATGACAGCATAGATCAGAAAAAAAGCATCAGAAAAATCACATTATTGATAAATGATGGACTTAGCACCATGGACACCAAAATTCTAGACAAGGCAGCCTCTGATAGTTCTGTGACAGACTTTTTTTTTCAGTAGGCATGAGATGAAGGGCCTCAGTTTGACAACTATGAAGAAGGCATGATCCCCACTTCCATTACTGATAGATAAGGTCCACCCATGCAGACAGATAGCACAGCTGAAGCTTTCCCTGCCTGTGCCAGCCCAGGAACCAGCATAGCACAGCAGGTCCTGGAGGACAGTAGGCACAAGTGGGATCAGTTGCACCCCACCCCATGTTCACAGCCTCATTCTTCACAGTCCTCTTGAAAAGTTTCCTGTACAGTACTGAAGTTACACACCCTCTGATCAGAATCATAGAATCAACTAGGTTGGAAAAGACCTTTAAGATCATCAAGTCCAACCTTTACTCCAGGACCGCCAAGACCACCACTAAACTGTGTCACTAAGGGCCTCATCTACATGTTTTTCGAACACTTCCAGGGACAATGATTCCACCACTTCCCTGGGCAGCCTGGTCCAGTATGTGATCACCCTTTTGGTGAAGAAATTCTTCCTAATATCCAGTCTAAATCTCCCCTGACACAGCTTGAGGCTGTTACCTGTCACCTGTTAGTTGGGAAAAGAGGCCACCTCCTATATCTATCATCCTTTCAGGTAGTTGTAGAGAGCGATAAGGTCTCCCCTGAGCCTTTTCTTCTCCAGACTAAACCACCCCTGTTCCCTCAGGTGTTTCTCATAAGATTTGTACTCCAGGCCCTTCACCAGCTTTTTTGCCCTTCTCTGGACCCAGAGAGATATACGAGTGTTTTGGTATACCTCTCTGCAAAATACTGTGCTCTTAGATCTTGTATTTTATCTCAAGTCCTAGCATGCCAGTCAGCGCAAGTGCTCTCATACAGGCAGAGTACCTGGAAAAAGTAAATTTTGTAGACCTCATTATAAAAATTCAGGTATATTGGTAATATTATATATTTGTTCAGCAGTTATTGATTAATGCTGTGATTTTCAAGTATTTCTCCCTTTCTACATAGTCTCATCTGACAGGAATAGATCAGCTCGGCTATTGCTCTGATAAGAGCAGAAACCATGCTTTTGTGGTGGGCTGCCTTATCACCCAGAGAGGGTGATAACTTAGGGCTGAAGGCAGATTAAGCTCTGGGCAGCACAGCTCTGGTCTGCCTGAAAGACATCAAGGAGCCACAGCCTAGATAACCTCAACTTTTTCTGAGAAATTCACCTCAGGGAAGCTTTTAAGGCATAGCAATACATGTCTTTGCATGATAGCATATTAGGCAACAGCATGTGGAAAGAGTCTGTCCAGCCTCTCCTTTCCCCTATCTATGCTGAAATAACTCTGTGGGGCTGCCTTGCCAGTCAGATGTGGGCGGACTAATACAGATTTAGAAATAAATAATTTTGAAAGGGACAGAAATCAGGCAATACTGTTCCAAAACACCTCATACTAAGAAAGCACAACCACTGCAGTCAAAGGAACTTAAAAATTGTGTCTGCATGTCATGCTGACTGTGGTCTAAGTTAGGATGACAGACATGATTTGTTTTATTCACCTGAACACTGCTCCCTTACGCAAGAGATCAGCATGTAGTCTAGGCACCTCCTGCATCCCAGCACCTCCTGCCCAAAGCACTGCTTATTTCAGATTTATGGACAGTGCTGTGAACTTTCTGCTGTTCCAGCTGCTTCACAAAGGTGCCAGCCACTGGCTGTAGGGCATGGCAAACAGGTTGGAGTAAGAACACCACAAATTGTCATTTGCTGATCCCAAAGACACCATTCATTGTTGCTCCAAGCTACAAAATGCCTCTTTTAGCGAGAAGTATATAGACCATCACTGCAAGTTCATGCTGTTCAAAGGGCAAAATTCCTTGCTGAATGAGCTTTATTGCTTATAACTAAGTTTGTTAAAATGCACATTTAAAAGCCTTGATTATAAAAATTATATAAATCTATTCTGGTTTTAGCTTATAGCACTGCTGCAGTAGTGAAGTTCAAAGATATTCTTAACCAGTGCATTAACAATAGTTATCTACACCGTTGAGTGTTTCTTCATGAGAAGGAAATCAGAGACTATTGTGCTCTCTTCAATTCATTACTGAAATGCTGAGAAAAGGCAGTATTGTCATTCGGTGCTGGATTACTTACCCCAGTAAGGATCATACAGGATGCATCATATAAGGGTGAAAAAAACCAACAAATGTACACATTTCCAAATGCAGCTCCTTAGCCAGACCCACCCACCTACCCAGTCTGGTAAACTCACCAAAAACCTGTTGTGAAATGTCACCCCTGAAGGCATGCCTGGCAGTTGTGCTAGCTTGCTCTGGGCTCAGAATCCTTCTAGGTTCACACAACAGTTGGCTGTAAAATTCTGCTTAAGCCATTTTTAATGGATAATGGGATTACCGACTAAAAAATCTGTTTGAAAAAATAGATTGCTATCTACGCAAAAAGTGAAGTTATTTTGCCAAAAAAGAAGTAACCCAAAGTGAAAGTATTTAAACGGAAAACTGAAACCATTTATTCAAAATGGCAATGCTGTTCCTCCTGGAGTCCTACATTAAACTACTTCTGCTCCCATTCTCTTGGAGTTTGGCTCCCTGGCCAAAATCCACCTTATGATGCACCATAGATAAATTATCCCACAGCTTATGTCCTTATGTCATTCAAAAGATTACTCGTTTGGACATGTGCTGCCTTTGGGGAAAAAAGCAAGAAGGCATTACAACTGACTGAAATGGAAGAAGGTATTTTGTCATCACCCTCCCTCTGCCCCCAAACTATAACAGAAATTTACAATTAAGAATAGATTACCCCCCCCCCCAAGATTTTGTTAAGTTTTCCAAAGCCAGTGCCCACCAAAGTCTGTATTAGAGCTTTTCAGAAGATAAAGGAGAACAGTTACGAACAAAATTCACTCTCATTACTCTGAGCATAATGTTGGATATGTCCTACACCGAACAAGCCTCCTGTGAACTTGGTAGTTAAATAAGGTGCCATCAGAGACCGTGAAGCTTTAAAATAGACCAGAACAAAGGCCCATGATGAACAGTGACATGGAAATGTTATCACGTACTTCCTCTAAGCCAATGGGCAGCACAAATTATGACAGAGAAGCTCATATGGGCCTGAGCTGTACTCTTGGGCTATCACTGACATGAACACAGCATGGCCGTGTCAGCTATGGTGGCTCTTCTGAAGTTCACTATTCTTGCCCTTTTTAACCTGGACTAGTAATTCTTAAACTGTTGCTACCAATTCAGCTAAGTTCAGACATCTACACTGCACACCTCCAACATTTTCCTCTAAATTGCCCTTATATTCAGAGAGAAAACCCCTGCACTTTCAGACCCTGCCCATCCATAGATTTATTTCTCCCTATCAACTGCAGAAGTACCCTAGACAAGTGAGAGGGTTGTATAAGTATATATAGTCAGGGAAGATGACTACTGCAATGCCACTCTTACACACACTTTCTGTGTGAGATGCTCTAGGGCCTTAACTTCAGTTGGGAACTGCAGGCATTACTGTAACCTAAATATTAGTCTCCAAAAAATTCTGTGTATTCCTATGAAGATTTATTTACTTTTGAACTAGCAAAGAGAGTATAACCACGAATAGCCCATTAGCTGTCTAAAAAAAGGAAGAAACAACAAATTTCAGGGTGGTTTCCCCCACCCTGAGAATAAAAATGGCTCCTCTATTTGAGAGAGATGAATTCTCCAAAACCATAGCAATTCAATGAGAATTAAATATATGGTGCAGTGACTCAGAGAATGAACAAGGGCCAGCAGTCAGGGAACACAGATGAGACAGAAAGCACAAAAAGGTGCTCGCTTTTCCTCCTACTGTTGAGATGATCTCCACAGCCACCAAGAAATTACCTATTTTACTCAGTTATAAGTAAAAAAAATAGGCAGCCTTAGCAATATATAGAGATCAATTTGGGACAAATCTTTTAGGTAAGCTGGACAGTGCTCCTACATTGCAAACCTTCAGAGTATTTTAATGAAGCTACTTCCAAACAGGCAAATAAATCATGTTTATTGATTTATTTGAAAGATTTATTTAAGATTTATTCCGAAAACTAAAGCCCACCCTGACTATTATTGTTCCAAATATGAACTACACTTACAAAATGCATTAGAGCACATCTTTGGTTCTCATGAAGTCTGAACTGGGTGGGCAATTGCCACCCATCCTCAGAGAAAAGCTTTCTTATGTTACCAATGATATGCTCAGCCACCTGTGGTAGGCAATCAGCCTTGTGCCACAATAAAACAAATATTCTGCCCCATCTTTGTGGCAAAGAGTACTGCAGAATTAATCAGTATGTATCCTCACATTACAGTGACAATTAATAATGCATCAGATGAAGCCCTGCAACCTGACTCACTATGACAATATCCTGGCATAGGACTCCCATTTCACTCACTGACGGTCCTCAGCATTCATCATCAAGGTACCCCGTAGTTAAAGACATTTAAAAATAGCACCAGAGAAAACGCTGCACAATTTAAAGTGAATGCTCCTGAATGGGGACAGAAGGCAAATGTGATTAATCAAGCATCAGTGGAGTGTGGTGGGGGGAAGAATTACTTTGGGGTTGAATTTGCAGAATCTTTCCTTTCACGGCTCTGCTCAGTTTATCACCTGTCCTTTCAAGAAGAAAACCGTATTCGTATTTTTTAACAGATTTCCTTGGATATGTGTGTGTTGGGGTTAAACAAATGTTCACTTCTCCATCTCCTCATTTCTGGTCCACCACCTCCTTCCAGAAGCTCTGCAAAGCCCACCTTGCAGAGTCAAAGCCATGGCAGCAGCACCCAACCTGTGGATCTCTGACTTCCTTATGCTGACTTACTAAAGCACAGGGCTGCACTGATGGGGTTACCTTTAAACACACAACCTCAGATGCAGCTGACATTTAAGTTTTGCACAGTTCCCAGAAACCTGGGAAAAACAACGATGGCATGTGGTCTTCTCAAAGATTGGGTTGAAGAAACAAAAAATCTGAGGATGATGAAATGGACTGTTAAAACAAAGAGACAGTTTAAGTTCCAATTCCTATTTCCCGTGTGCTCCACACTTCAAAAGTTAAACAAGAACAGAAGAATACTTTCTTTTTATAGGACAAATACTCAACAAACTGCTTCCCTCATCCCTTCTTCTTTCAGTATTTCTAACAAGGTGCTTCACCACTCGAAGACTATTTCAGATCGTGTGTTAGAGTGGGATTCCTATGAAGCATTTACAGTATTCAGTCTCCGGCTTTCTTACTAAATACTTGCTGGGACAATATTATATCATTCACTGGAATGTTTCAAATCTGTATTTCTACATGCTATTGATACAGAGTAAGTTGTGCATTTAACACCAAACTCATACGGTCCTTAAAAAATATTTGCTAACAATGCTATGTGAGGGGAAACCACAATATTATACTTCACAGTATAAGAAGATGAAAACATAAAGATATGACACATTATAGAAACATGTATATATATATTTTTTCTTTTTAGGTATATTCAACTAGCAAAAAGTGTACCAAGGAAAAAAGCCTACTAATTGCTGGTGTAAGAGTGCCCTCTAGTAGAAAGCTTTCTCCAGGAATACGCTGCCTGTTTGGAGAAAATATATTACAAATTTAAATTCACAAGCTGCAGTCTGATAACATGGTAAACCAGGTTTTACACAGCTAAACAATGAGTGCTATAGCACTCACCCAAGTGTCGTGTAGAAAACAAGTAAATCTGTAGATAAGAAGAGAAGGTATAAAGAACACATAACAAGGAAAAGAAGGTATAAAGAACACAACAACAAGTAGCATGAAAACAGTACAATGTATTATACAGATCAGATGACCCCTCACTTCAGCGTTACATTCATTTCAGGTCAAAATACCACACACCATCTTTCCTGCCCTGATAAGACTGTGATGATAGATAGAGCCTGAAGTCATGGACTAAATCTCAACACATATTTATAGGGAAGGCCCACAGATTAAGGGAATGGTATCTGTGTGTGTACATATCAAAAGACAAAAGGAAAGGTGATGGTGTATTAGAAAGCGTGGGATCTAGATATTAGGAAGAAGTTCTTTACTGTGAGGGTGGTAAGACACTGGAACAGGGTGCTCAGAGAAGCTGTGGCTGCCACATCCCTGGAAGTGCTCAAGGCCAGGTCGGACGGGGCTTTGAACAACCTGGTCTAGTGGAAGGTGTCCCTGTCCATAGCAGGGGATTGGAACTAGGTGATCTGTAGAGGTCCCTTCCAACCCAAATCATTCTATGATTCTGTGATTCCCATGCTCTGCCAGTGAGGAGGTGCAAAAGAGGCTGGGAGGGAGCACAGCCAGGACAGCTGCCCCAAACTAGCCAAAGGGATATTCCATACCATAGAACAGCATGATCAGTATACCAGCTGGGGGGAGGTGGTTGATGACTGCTTGGGGGTGAGCTGGGTATTGGTCAACGGGTGCTGAGCAATTGTATTGTGCATCACTTGTCAATCTTGGGGTTTATTTCTCTCTTTCTGTTGTCTCCCTTTTCATTACAATTATTATAATTATGATTATTATAACATTTTATTTCAATTATTAAACTGTTCTTATCTCAACACACAGGTTTTAGTTCCCCCCGCCCCCAATTCTCCTCCCCATCCCACTGTGGGGTGGGAGGGTTAATGAGTGGCTGCCAGCTGGAATTAAACCACCACAGTTAGAAACAGAAGAAAGAACAGAAGATAGGAAATAAAAATGTTTCTTTCAAGAAGCTGAAAGGGAGTGGCTGTTTATTCCAAAATTAAGATGAAAGATACAGAATCAAACTAGGAAATACACTAGTGAAATGTGAAAAATTAATCTCACATTAATTTTATGTGAGATACTTCACATAACACAGGGTAACTGGATATTTAACAAGGCTGACAATCATGAGATTTAAAACCGATAAAAAGAACAGCTTTCAAAAATAGGCAGTTTATAGACTCTACCATTGTGATACCGTAACAGTATGACGACCATAATGATGGATACCATCAAGGCTAGTGAAGACACATTTCCAATAATGAAATGGTTTTATATCCCTGTATTTTTAATGCAATCTAAGCATATTAGCTATGTAATGTTTGAAAAAAGTTCCTTCTGAGAAAGCTGATTATATATCATGCAGTATACTATGTATAACACAGCATGCCTCTTGCTCTTGAGAAGCATTTGATACTACTCAAAGATGGCAGTTTTGGATTGGACTTCATGAAAAAATACTACAAAGCTTTTTATGTCTCATGCATGCCCCCAAAGTATGAAAACATAGGCAAATTCAGTACAGCTACATTCACCCACATCTCAAATGCAGAGGCACCTAACCAGGTGTCTTACATGGTGGGCCTGAAACTTAAATATGGTGTTATACCAAAGCTAGTACCTCTGCACAGCAACAAGATGTGGCTGCCCAAGCATGTTTGCAGCGTGCTGTGTGCATGACACAGTGATGCCCTTTGTGTCAAACAAACCCATTGCCTGGACCAAGCACATTGTTGCTTATCTCTGTGTGTTTCATATACAGAACAAGTACTGTGGCCAAATGCTTGCTTCACTAAACATAACTGATGCATGCAAAAATTAAATAGACCTATGGAACCAAGCATCTGCAGGAGCCAATAGCACGCAGTTGCATGGACTTTCTAGGAAAGACTTTTTAAAACACAGCCTATTAAAACAAATTCTGTTTTGTCTTGCATGATTGTACACACAACTCACAGTCCCAGCAAGTACAGGGGCACAACTCCTTATCCAGGAGTGTGCAAATATGCACTTGAAAAAAACTCTGTAACTGAATACAATGACGAATATCAACACACGGGAATGGACACACGTGATTCAAGGAAAGATTTGAAAGTGATAAAACCAGAGCTGTTTGCAAACCTGGACAATCTGTCAGAGTCTGAAAACACTGAAGTAATAATGGAATATGGAACAGAACAGGAAGAGCAAAAGGTGGGGAGAGACACAGTGCAACACTTGTTGCTCAGGACCCCAGTGACCCCTATGTAGCCATCAGGTTTACTAAGCCATGGGGTTTAGGGAGAGATACTGAAGCAGAATGCTAATCACAACCTGGTTTAAAACAAAACCAAAAAAGCAACACAAAATAAAGAAAAAAAAACACCAAAACAAACAAAAGAAAGGGTACTTACAGTTCACTGAAAGACTAATTATCACCTAGGGAGAACTTGTGTTCTCCCAGCAGCAGAAAGACTCTATATCCACAGTGTCCAACTCCAGCATCCACATAGGACATTTAGTGTTACATGGCTAAATGTCAGACTTGAACTTGCACTATCAATCATTGGAGCCTAAGCTCATGCTTAAAGAGCAGACGAAGTAATTCACCAGTCAGGAAACAAGACAGATGAAGAACAGCAGATGACTGTCAACAGACAAGTGCATGACATACATCACTCTCCACAACGAAGAAAGGAGCCATAGTCCACTAAATTCACTGAATCCAGTGTGCTGGATGACCTTACCCTACCTGCATAAACCAACCTTGCTATACACAATACTGCTTCAATGAAAAGAACCCAAATGACTGTCTGACCTTTAATTAAATTGCATGACTGTATGAACAGTGATACTGCTCTGCTTGCAATGACTGTCACTGGACAAGTCGACTGCAGCCACTAAACTCACAGTATCCTGCAGCAGTAAATTTCTCAGGATTGTATTTTAAGAAATGAAACAAAAAGGAAAATCTGAAGGATATTGCCCTCACCATTGTTAAACTAAAATGACTTAGATGCAAGAAATCAAAAGTCTAGTAGCCGAACTAAGAAAAACATAGTTAAGTGTTTTTTATTTAAGCAGAGGTAATTCAGAAGAGGTAACTGAAAATATATGAACGATTAAGTAAGCATCTTCTAGTGTGATAGAATGTATTCAGAAAGGGGGCAGGGGGAAAGTGGGGGAGAAAATCACAAATACCAAAGCATTTAAATACTGCAGCAGTATAAAAGTGTAGTTTTATCACATCAGGAGCTAATCAATATCCTCTTATATTTATTCTGTACTTCTCCACTGACAAGATGCAGAAGTCTGCTTACCGAATTGTCTTTCAGCTGGAGACCTTCTCCATTGGGCAGCGACGACCTCCGTTTTGAAGAGTTCTTGTTTGGTGTAGAATTAGCTCCTCCAGCTTTCCTCTTGACAAAGAGGACTTCACAACTGGCTTGATCTTCATTGTGTGTGCTCTTCCCTGCATTTATCACCCTAAGAAAAAACAAAATAAGAAAACAAACAACATGTTCAAGTTAGCAAAGCACAGAAGCATCCATCTGTATCTCATACGTGACTCAAGATGTACAGAACTAGAGTGCAGAAGTATTACATATACAAACTGAACTAAAATTCCAACTTTCTTACACACCTACATACACGTACATACACACATGCATACTTTGTTTCCATACACCTACACATGGCATAACAAGCATTTTTAATGGAACTATGTGAACAAGAAACAACGGCACGATGAGCATATTTTACCACACTTTCCTTTAAAGGAACTACCTGATGGTTGAGGCTGACAAACTTAATGCCTCCCAGCTGAAAGATGAGAACCCCACTTCCTTTTCTATCTGCCAGCCTCTCTGCCACAGTGAATAATGAACCTGTTGGCTAAGGGTGTGCATTCTGTCAAGTTCCAAGTCTTGCACAAACAAAATACCTGCTACAAATCTAAAAAGCTGTTACTGCTCAAGGCACGGAAAAATATGCACTGCTATTACTACGTTTAAAAGGCAGGTATTAGAAACGTTGTGACAGAAATACGAAGGAAAGGCTTTGCCTTGTATCCCAACATGCAAATCAAGCACCACCACCATTTTAAAACCATAATCAGAAGTTTGCATTATCCAAGATACTGTGGTTTCTATCATCTACCTCAGAATAGCCCAGGTCAAACACTATTTCTACACGAGAACCTTACCACAAACTGACTAATTTCGCATCGGTTGACACTATGTTGAATAAGACACGTGCTCTGATAGTCCTGGGCTCGCCCACGGAAAACCTGTGTAAGTCGGGACCATGACTTGTTCTAACCAAGCAAAAATGTTGTCACTTTGATTCAAGCATGTCTTCTTTCACAAATATCATCTAACCACTCCTCTCTACTAGGAGGTTTGAGTCAACAAGCTGACTGCTAGTCAGAGACAGCATTTCCACTGCTGGACAAACACCAAGTTTCACATCAGGCACACAATGTCATTAAAAACAACTGCTGCCTCCCCTGATCGTAAAACAGCTTGAAGGCACATCACAATCAGGATAGAAAGTTTAAGACATACCTGACTTCTTGATCTCAAATGTTTTCATTACAGTAACATTTTACATAAGAAGAAAACACTTGCTAAAGATTGTTGAAATGAAAACAAAAACCAAAGGAAGGCTTGCAGAGGACTCTGCCCCAGCTTGCCTGCTTTTGATGAAATGCCAACTCTTTGTCAGCCTTGCTTAAAGGCAATATATTCTTCTGATTCTCAAGGAGCGATATGATACTGTGACAAATGAGTATCCCTACTTCTGATGAGAAAAATGAGTCTTCTAAGAAAATATGCATCCATTACAATTAACTGCTTTCAGATATGTTAAATTTCCTTACAGTGCCAAATGTCACACACTGCGGCCCGGTATCTGTATGCACAATACCATCACTTGCTTACAAGTATTTCTTGTAAATAAACACCAACTGTGAATACAATTATTTCGTGAAACACAGAGAGCAGAGATGAAGAAGCATTTAGTTGCAAGGCACTTGGGAGCAGTTTATCCACTCACCCCCTGCTGTGCCTAACCTTTGAGCAACTGGAGATCAAACACTGGGCTGCTATAAGCTCCCAGTCTGAAAACTCAACATTTTCTTGATATTAGGAAAAACAGAAGAATGTATTCAGAAAGGAAGCAGGGGGAAAGGGAGGGAGAAAATCACAAATACCAAAGCATTTAAATACTGCAGCAGCATAGGAAGTGTAGTTTTATCACATCAGGAGCTAATCAATATTCAGTTTAGCTGATCAGCCTCCTCATTGATGCTGCTGTTTTCAATGCCATTTAAAAAAAGTGGAAGACAGAGACAAAAGTGATTCCTTACAAAAACTGCTGCCTTCCTACTACTTATCATTTGTTATGAACATCACTCAACTGCTGGAGCTGCTCTGGTATCTGAGCTTAGTAACGGACTTCAGGACTTGTATGGTAGGAGATGTTCTGATGTTTAACGGCATGTTAAGTTATGCACAATATGGTGTCATTTTATAAAGCACTTGCCAAGAAAATTTGTCAAGGCACTGAATACATTAGAAAGGCTATGAGAACAAGGTGACCTAACAGACTAGTTTGGCAGTCAGCTACTGTGAAAGACCTGAAGTTGAACCTGCGTACCAAGCACCTTGCTAGAAGACAATATAATCAACAGGAACCTGGCAAGACTGAATACTGAGATGTGAGAGATGGGGTGTCAGTGTATTTAGGTGGCGGTACTCGGGCTGTGAACAATATGTTCCCTCCCAGAATTCACATTATCTCCCCAAAATTCCAGTTTTTATCTCTCTATCAGAGGACAAAGTTTATTTTGGAAATCCTTGTTAAGACTTGAACTAATCATAATGTCAAAACAGTGCTTATGGGTGCTGTGAGTTGGGAAGCGAGAGCAGAAGAGTGCAGGGTCTACATGCCAAAAGCTGTCTGACATAAGCACTCTTCTACTCCCACATCCCATCTCATAGGCAAACTTTGGAAAAGGGCTGCAGTGAAGCCCTGTGATTTTTAATCTCAAAGTCTAAGCTATGTGTTGGTGCTCGATGCCAAGCACAGAAGCTGGTCACATCTTCTACTCAGCTTCAAAATCTGTCTTTGGTGCCTTCTGAAATCCTTTTCTCTCTGCAGCTTTTTAACTCCCTCCTTGAGGCAATTCTTTCAACCAGCTTTCCAATGCTGATTTCACTGTTGTCTTTCCTCCTTACTCTCCTAGACTTTAATTTATCAGGACAAAAACCACATCTAAGCTGCTTATTCAAATAACAAAAGCAGAACTAACAAGATATTCGTATCTCCAAAAGGTAACTCTTAATTAGACCTATGAATATTTTGATGGAAAAATCTAATAGCTCCCTCCTTCACAGAGGAAGTGTCTCAGCTTCCTAAGATTTTCAGTTCCCTTCATATCTCCTCTTCTGTCTGCCTCAAAATGTCATACTCCAGTAAAGTAAACAACGGGAGACAAAGCACCACCTTCTCACACACAGTTAAAAACAACCTTCCCCCACCAAAAAACCTTGTAATCATACAGTTGTCCATGGATGCTAATAATAATAGTAATAATAATAATTACTATATATTATTACATTATATAAATATAATAATATGCAGAGAAAAAGGAATTAAAAAAAGATTGAGGCCTATATAATTTCCTAGCTTTTATTCAGGAGACATGTTTTCAAGGGTATTTTTGCTTTCATTTTCTCTCTCCGTAAGTCCTCAAGGAACTGCTTGATTAGACCTATTCATGATCAACTCCTTTCCATCCCTTCCCCCCTTTCCCTCATTATCCATTCATCTCCTATCCAATCTTTCACAAAGTTCAACCCAAATAACATATGTAATTTGGATCAGAAGCTCCTCTTTTTACAGAATTAGCTGTCTCCATTGTGTCAAACACATTGCTCAGTAATAAATATATAATCCTAGGTTTTAGTTCACAGTATAGTAGTGCTAGTAAAAAAATAGACCCTACTTTGCAAACAGGAGCTTCCTGAAGCCTGCACAGTGAAGTGGTGGGGCTTGGTCACACCTGAAGTGGTACCTGCATCAACCTTGATGGAAACAAATCTCAAACATGTCCTCAGCTAAAAGCAAATCCTCCAGATAGCAGCCAGCTAGTTTGTTTGGCTCACAATTAGCATTCTCCTGGTATCTCACGAGACCCCAGATCCCATCAGACTGAATGGAAATATAGGTCACACTGTGCTGCTTTTCTTCAGTCAGTAAGCAGAGCCCTGAAACTCGTTTGCCAAGGTCACTGATTACAAAATACTAAGTTTATCTTACAAGAACCAGAACAGGCCAGTTGAACAAATTCAAAACAGGTTTTGATAACAGTTTCCTGACCAAAAAAAACCCAAACAAACCAAAAAACCTCCAAAACCAGCTCAAGTCTTTCAAAGCATTTATGTTCATCCCTCTATTTTTCACATAGATATCAGCAGATATCAGTACATATACCTGTTGGTTGTTCTACTCCTCCCTATATGGTACTCTTTGCAATCAGATTAAGTTGTATCTGCTTCAGCAAAAGTTCCAAGCTGTGCTGTATGAGGAAGAAGAGTTTTACCTACGTCTAGGTCTCCAATTCTGAAAAAAATTGAAGTAGTCATCCAAGTACTTGCATTTTTAAACTCACAAGTTTATAAAATTCTGTATGTAACATACCCAGAGAAAAATAATGGGTAAAACGAGCTCAGTGGGCAAAGAGCTCAGCAGAAATTGTGAATGATGCACAACAGCAGTGTGCACAAAAAGTACTTTTTGAAATGTAAGGACCAGAAGAGTTACAAGAGCTTGGGGAGCTATGTTACAGCAGGGTAAGTGTGGCAACTGACTGCACACACACTCGAGACCTACCCAAGCTAAGAAATAAAACCTGTAAAAGCAGTGAGCCTGACCTCAGTTTAGTTGAGCTGTAGGGTAACTGACAACCACATGTAACCATAGGACACCCTAAAACCTATCTGCTTCTCCCCCACCAGGGCAAAGTTCCTCTCCACAGTAGTAGACAGCATTCCCAGTTCCACTTCTTTTAAGACCTGTTATGAGGGTCAAGACATCCTATGCAACCACTTCCAGAGCAAAGGTCTGTGCAGCTTGTGCTTGTACCATGTAGGTTAAGGCTGAGGCTGTGCATGTTATCTGTGCAGCCCACAGTGTGTGACAGTGGAACATCAAAATACCTGCAAATGTCTCTAAAAAAAAAGTGATGCAGAGAAAGGGGGAGATGCATCAACTTGCATCTGCCAGTGAGGAAGTGGCTACACCAGGCAGGAAGCCATCCCGGCAAGAAAGCTCAGCTCAAAGTGGAACAGGCTGAGTGAAACAACATGAAAACAGTTTGCAAGAACCAAATGGCTTCTAACAAAGCAACAGAGAGCAAAGCCATAACCAGAAGACCAGTTGATGGTCCCAAGCTATTGCTTTCTGAGTTAGATCTCTTAGAA